CAGATTACTTGTATTTGCTTAATTGTTTACTAAATGTTTGAGGTGTGAAATAAATCGCAATGGAGCAAAATATGGGCGTGTGTGGTTGGAGGATGTGTTAGTGCGTGCGGGGGGGGGGGGCATTTTTCATGTAAAACAAAGGGGGGCCCAGCAAAAAAAGTTTGGGAACCACTGGCCTAATCCATATACAGCTGTGACAAGTGTTGGGTATTATTTTAGTTAAATATTCAGATTCTCAGAAACTAGATTATACATTTCAAATAAACTCTTGTGAATTCAGGATTTTTTTCTTTGTTCTTTTCCTTAAAGCTTTTAGATATTCCAAACAGGTGATAGCCTAAAAAAAGGGATGGATGGCAACCAAACCTAAATCCTAATCCTAAATTTGATAGGTGGTGATATTTAGCAACCACAGTTTAATGTTTGTCTTAACTTAACCACACTAAGACTCATGATGTTGCTTTCTGGTCCTGAATAGGAATGGGAATCAAGAACTGGTTCTTGTCGCCTTGCCTTATTGGTTCCACTTGAACTTGCATTACCATCAGCTGGTTTCAGGTCATGTGTCAGAAGAGTAAAACAGTGATATGGTCTGCACTAGGGATATGGACAGTACTTGGTAAAGCTGAGTCAATGCTGACCCAGTCTGATCATCAGCAGGTAAAAAAGGCAGCGATGAACAGTCAGGCTGCAGCCTTCATTTCTAAAGTAGAACCACTGTGATGATCGCTTTGAAGTCTCTGTGTTGGTTTTCATCTTTGCCTTGTGCTGTCAGCTTTGTGTTCGTACTTAAATACTAAGAGAAAGATCACATGTGTGTTGTCATTAGGATAGGGTTGTCTGTTGGTGTCTGGGAGTGGTAGTTATGAGACAATATGTTTCGTATGTAACGTAACGAGAAGCGTAAAGAATTGCTTTCCCTGGCAAGTAAGTAAGTAATGTATGGCATTACTTTCAAGTAACCTTTTCTTTGTAATATGTGTAATAGTCTATTTCTTTGTGTAATGAGTACAACACTG